ATTTAGCGCATTTTCCAGTCAGCGAAATAAGGTAAATTAAAACCCAGTGAATATTACCCCCTTTACAGTATACATTCTTACGTGATCTGTGTCTCTCTAACATCGCTTACAGGGACGACATTGAATATCCAAGGATACATTACATCTATGTCCACATTTGGGATGTCATTCACTTTGCGAACAGTGACATAGACCACATATAAATAAATAGCTAGCTTTAAAATAGTAGATTCGCAACAGTGAGCAATTGTGAACTTGAAACAGGTACTTGAATGACGTGAGAAATGCAGGTGAAAGAACAGATAAAATGATAGGCTTAGCATACACAAATTAAATAAGAAATGGGAAAACTGAAACACCCTAAAATAGAAATACTCCTCACCAAAAGTTGAAACAGAGAGGCTTACCTGTTTTTTCAGTTCTTTTTCTCTTGGAGATGTCAGTTCTACTGAACCATGACCAATACTTCTTGATAAACTTGATAGTGAACTTACAGAGCTTACTGAACTCGTACTATCACTGCGTTTATCCTTTGATGTCGACTCCATAGGTGTTGACGGTGGCTTGGCTGCTTTACCCTTGGCTCTTGTCACTTTGTGGATAGGTGCAAACAGACCATGTCTTGCTTTACAAGTGAAATATCTGAGAGGAAAATGGGCACAATGTATATTATGTGATGATAATACGATGAATGCAGAGTTTTTGGTTAGGGGAGTGCACTTTTACAATGATGTCAGCGTTCCAATGCATTACAGCCAAAACAAAGTCAGCTTGGACATTCAGTTGTGAGAAATTACAAAATAAATGATGCCAGCGATAGATGTCGAGTATGAAAGAAGAAAATAAACGCAATCAAAGGCGCCGACCACGCGCGTTGAAAATAAATAGAACGCGTTGCGACGAGAAATCTTACCTGCATCTTTCACTCACGCAAACGCGCACACACACACGTGCTATTTCCATATATTAAATACGTTGGCAACGGAAGGGAAAGTTTAAATCATCTTTGTATTAACACAACTTGAAAGCAACAGTCTCACACTGAATATATGTTTATAAACAAGGCATTGAAAATGACACTGTCCCCGTTAAATTTTTGAAATTTCTCTTTGTGCTTGTAATATTAAAGCAGAGGGGTTGTAAAAACAGCCGTTAATCGGCCATCTTTGATCTGATTATGAAACACACTGATATGTATGATGTATGCCAAATACGAATGAAAATGGTACATAAATTGTGGAAATATAGTAGTAAGACCAAAAAGTCAGATGGCTGTCAATCGGCCATCCTTGTCATAGACATGCATCCTAACAATATATAAAGTACATGTATGTGCCAAGTTTGAATGAAAACTGACAGAGCATGTCCAAGATACCGCATACAAAAACAAAACAAGATGCCTGCCAGTCGACCATCTTTGATCCAATTGCGAAATAAATCGTCATGGACATGTATCCTAACATGTTCAATCTATGTACCAAGTTTGAATGACAACTGACAAAGCATTTTCAGTATCAGCAATAATTTCTAGTACTGCCTGGATAATTGCGTATTATTAGTTGACATCAGACATATAACTGTACAGGATTTTTTGAACAATGTCTTGAATTTCCGAAAGAATATTCAAATAAGTTGGGATGAATATGAATTGAATGTCCATCTTTTGGAAAATCAGCTAAACACGATTATGGTGAATTGGCGAGTTATCAACGAAGACGACCGGACGTCTCCAGTCATGAGCTTGCTGGTTCGAATTTATCCACTTTAACAGTGCTGAATATCTCGTTCGAGTTGAGTTACTAGTAATTACAAGCCTGATTTACCTGACCTGTTTTTCGTCAATGTATTAAATATAAGTGGGTTGGGAAATAGCATAATTATATTGCGCGAGTGAAAGAGGCTGGTGAGACTGTGCCACAACACGTTCTATTTATTTCCTACGCGCGTGGTCGGCGTCTCTGATTGTGTTTATTTTGTATTTTTATTTTTAAAATGTATCACTGGCTGCGTTTTTTTTGTTATGTCTTGCAACTGAACGTCCAAGCTGACTTGGTTTTGGCTGTAAAGAATATGTGAGCATGGAAGGTATGGAAAGAAGAGATAAAGACTTGATTTATTCAGATTTATTTTTTTAATTTCAAGCCGACTCTTATTAACATTGCTGAGAGAAAATTGTTCACAAAAATAATGTACACCTCAAATATCAAATCAATCAAGTTGGTAGTGTTCAAGAAGAATTCAAAAATATCATTTTCTACCAAAAATTTAGTCAAAAATAGAGAAATGATGATATCAACACGAAATGAACAAATTTGACTGAGGTTCACCCACAAGTACCTACATATCAAGTATCAAAGCAATTGAGCTGGTAGTTTTCAAGAAGTTGCAATTGCAAACCTATCAGCTCCGCTCTGTGATCTACAATGACAGTGGAGCTAAAAAAAACACCCCAGTCTAGATGTCAAAAGTATTATTTAAACTTGACAAAATTTTTGAAGACTGAAAAATTGTCATTTATTTCATTAAATGAATGATTAGCGTTTCATGTGGCAAAAATGTTTATTTTATGATAAAATCACACTATATTGTTTGTATCAAGATGCAAGTCCAGCAAGTTCATTTCTCACCTTGTACCAGCAACTGCACCATCATTTTTACCAAGTTCATCATCTAATTCCACCCCACACCATTCACCTTTAGCAAACTCGGTAGTTCCAACATATCTCAGAGTACCAAGTTTTGTCCCACTCACTAAAACCCTGTCTCCAACCTATACGATAAATAATTGTTTTTGTTATCTTGTATTCACATCCATGTACCAGTTGACAATTTTTGTGTTTAAACTAACTGCAAGAAACAATGTGATAGCAATATTGCAGTATGAGACACTGCTTTGCTAATGATATTGCTCACAATGTAGCCATTGCTTTCTGTGGCAAGACTGTGTGTACTGTAGCTATTTTGTTAGCAAAACAGTGTCTTCTACTACAAGATTGCTGTTCCATTCTTTCTTGAGATCACAGTAAAAGAAACAATGGTGCATGAAATTATACACACTTTTCACAAAATAATCAAATTAGAATTAGACAAGATAGAGATAAATGTAATAGTTCTCATTTTTGGGGCTCCAGCAGAACCAGAACTAACAAAAACAGCAAACAAAATTTTGCTGATCACCATAAAACTAAGCCAACAAAAGTTATATTTTACCTTCAGCCCTAAATTATCAGGTGCATCCCCGGTTGCTCTACCTGAAGGAGGTAACTTAGTGCCAACCTTAGTGCCCATTCGTGGAGTACTCGGAGCCCCACTTGGTCTATGATGACTAGGACTACCAGCATTCACACCGCCAGCTGGTTCTCTTATCAACTTAGAAACTTTGGAAAATACTCCTTTTTTAGGTTCACACTGAAAGTATCTAACTCCGGCGACTGAACCATCATTCTTCCCAACAGGTTCATCCAGGACTACACCTGCCCATTGTCCTGCAGCAAATCGCGTCTCACCAAGAAACTGAATGATTCCAGGTTTGGTGCCACCAACTAATACTCTATCACCAATTATGTAATCATCAAGTTGGTCAGAATCCGAAGGGGAAGATCGTCCAGATGACACCAGATTCTTGGCAAGGTGATGCGCATACTGGGAAGCTTGAGTTGGTTTCATACCTGCTGCTCGAGCAGAATGAGCAATTGCATCTGTGTTTGAAATAAAAACAAAATGCCCACTGCAATACCTATGTATCCATTTACTGGTGGTTAAGCTTTACTATGTAAGTAGCATTTAATGTGCCAATAGTTATGAAGTGTGAGATTGTTGTAAGTATAAT